GCCACTCGTCACCGGCGGCTCCGGCCCCGCGCCCGGACGGGGCACAGCCGGTTCTCGCTCTCGGCGTCGCCCGCTCTGCCCCGGGCAGGCCCAGCGCGAGAGGTGCGGCCGCCCCCCCGGAGCCGCCCCGGCCCAGGGCCGCGCTCACCTCCTCGGCCTGTTTGCGCAGCGCCTTCTCCCGCTCGTACTGCGTGAGCAGCTGCTCGTTGTCGTCCCGCAGCAGCTCCAGCTCCACGCTGGTCTCCTGGCTGTGCGCGCACACCGAGTCCAGGTTCTCCAACACGGCCACCACCAGCGGCATCAGCTCGGCCACCACCTCCTCGTCGTAGCGCCCGATGAGCCGCTCGAACTCGCGGTAGATGGAGCCCGCCAGCCCCGACACCCGCTCCGACATCATGGCGGGGCCGGGTCCGCCGGGATCCTCCTGGTACACCACGCCGTCCGCCAGCTCCATGGCGGCGGCGGGGAGCTGCGCGGAGCCTGGCGGGGCCCGGCGGGCGCTGCTCGGAGCGGCTCCCGGCGGCGGCTGCGGAGCCTCGGCGGGGCCGGGCAGGGAGCGGCGCGCGCCTCTGACCTCACCCGCCGCGCCGGGCGGGGCCTGCCGGGACGGCGGCGTGGGGCGGGGCCACGGACGTGAAGTGGCGCGGGGGGTGTGGTCTGCGTGGTGATGTCATCGATGGGCGGGGCCACGGACGTGAAGTGGCGCGGGGGGTGTGGTCTGCACGGTGATGTCATCGAGGGGCGGGGCCTGTGTGACGTTATGGCGGCGGGCCGCGGTCGGGGAGAGCGCGTTCGGCGGGAGCGGGGGGACAGCAGGAAGGGCCGGGACACGTCAGGGGACACAGAATCATCGAATCGTCAAGGCTGGAAGAGACCTTTAAAAGGGCAACAAGACTGGGGAAGTGTGTGGAGCACATTTCCTGTGAGAAGTGGCCGAGGGAGCTGGGGAGACCTCAGCCTGGAGAAAAGATCTTTCTCTACATAGGATCTATATATCTCCTATCCCTACAACTCCTCCTGTCAGGAGGGTGCAGCCAGGTGAGGCTGCTCCCAGGGAACAGTGACAGGACACAGCAGCCTCTGCCAGGACTTGACAGTGCTTTTAGTGAAGAAAACTTTCCTGATATCCACTCTAACCTCCTCTGGTGCAGCCTCTATCATAGAACTCAAACTTGGGAAAGTCTGTATTTTTCATTAGGTACTATCACATGTACAGCTGAGGAACCCGGTGGCTCAGCAGCGTTCTAGGAACAAAGAAATTAAAATGTGCTTTAAAAAAGGCAGAAAGCTCAAGAAGTGGTGGGATTTTAATGGTGGTGATTGCATTCAGCTCCACTGGAGAGCAGCAGAGGCTTAATTTTCTCTTTATTTGGACTTGTTCTAAGGCAATGTAGTGCAGATGTTCTGGAGCCTCACCCTTTTCCAGGGCAGCCTGGATCAGTCCATGGCAGATGGTGGGGCTGTGCTTCCACCCCTGGGGCAGTCGGTTCCAGGTGTACTGCACTCCCCTCCAGGTGAAGGCAAACTGAGGCCTGCATTCTGCTGCCAGGGGAATGGAGAAAAATGCATTGGCAATGTCAATAGTGGTGTACCACTTCGCTGCCTTGGACTCCAGCTCGTACTGGAGCTCCAGCATGTCTGGCACGGCAGCGCTCAGCGGTGGAGTCACTTCATTCAATGCACGATAGTCCACAGTCAATCTCTATTCTCTGTCAGACTTGTGCACAGGCCAGATGGGGCTGTTGAAGGGTGAGGGGGCCTTGCTGACCACCCCTTGGTTCTCCAGATCACGGATCATCTTGTGTGATGTCATCTTGATTCATCCGAAACTGCCAGTGGTGCACTGTTGAGGTGGCACCTGGGACACGTTGTTCCTCCACCTTTAGGAGTCCAGATGCAGAAGGACTCTCTGACAGTCTGAGCAAGGTGTCCAACTGCCTAATCCACTCTGCCTTCGCAGCAACTATTCCAAAAGCCCACCTGAGTCCTTTTGGGTCTTTGAAATAGCCGTTCTAGAGAAAATCTATGGCCAGAATATAAAGGGCCTCTGGACTAGTCACAATATAACACTTTGGCCACTCCTTCCCAATCAAGCTCACTTCAGCATTCCAACAGGGTCAGCTTCTGCAATCCCCCTATCACCCCAGCACTAGAAACAAGTTCTGCCGATACTGGGGAGGATGAAACAGGGAAACCTTATGAATATGATTGTTTAGCAAAAGATTCTGACAGATGAAACCTAGAATCGAAATAGAAATGAAAGCTAGCTTTGAGCCATAGGATACTGAGTGCTGATGACTATATAACCAAAGAACAATAGCCTAGCCAGCTAAAGGAGAATCCCTGTTGATTGAACGATACCCTTCTTCTGACAGAGAATCCAAAGGTCAAGCAGCAAGAGAAGAATTTGGAAGGTAGCTTTTAGAGTTTAAAATGTAACACTGTGTGGTAATGTAGTAGTTCTTACAGGCTGTATGTAAATCCTATAGAATGTGTGTCATGTATTGGTTGGTTGGGAATTAGAATATTCACCATAGAAAAAGATATAATGTATTGTAACAAGAACTTCACTTTTAACTCTTAGCTCTTAACTTCTGCACCTCTCATAAATTCTCTCCCCCCTCTCTTAACCTGCTCCCTTAATCCCTGCTCTTGCTCTTACTCTCTTACTTAACTTCTTACACTCTCTTACCCTCTCCTCTCCTACTCTATCCTACCTTCTTCCCCCATGCTCTCCGACTCCCCTCTCACCTCTCTCTCCTTCTCTGATCACGTGTATGCTGTGGCTGGCAGGGGAAACGGATTCCTTCCTCCCTCTGCCTAAATAATAAACTGCTTATACCTGAACAGCTTGACCCTGGAAAAGTCTCAACACGAGTGTGTTTTTTACATCTATATGACCCGACATGTTCCGATGGGATTAACATGCACTGTGTACCAGTATTGACCAAAGCTTCATATTTCTGTGCTTTTGATGTGCCAGGCCATTGGATCCACACAGTCCAAGAGACAATTCTCCCACGCCTCTACCTCTACCAGAGGCAGCCCTCCCCTCCAAGTAAATTGATTTGCAATTTACCAGGGAAGAAAACCAGCCCTTGCTTCGCTCTGGGATTAGAAGAGTTTAACTGGGACTTTACCCAGAGGAAGAAATGTTTGTGAAAGCTTAATTCTACAGTAGTTTATACCTTAAAGTACAACAGAAATTAAGATAAATGAAGAGCAGGATATCCTGGAGCAACAAAAGGATGTGAGGACTCTGGTTACAAGAAGCAAGAGAGACACGGCACAAAATGAGTTTTGATGAGAACCCCAAATATTCTGGGTGGTACAGACAGAGGCTGTGAGCTGAGACCAGCATAAAGCTGGGGCCAAACCAGCAAAGCTGGAGCTGTTAAATGCTACTGAAGTCTGGAGACATTCACAGTCAGTCCCTTGTCTCAGACCTGTTTTAAAAATGTCTACTGGTTGTAAGTTATATGGAAATGTAGTTTGAGCTCAGCAATTACACTTAGTTCACTCACTAGGAACTTTGAAAGTGTTTACTTCTCTCCCATAATCAGTCCATTTTTCAGAAATTATTTGTCTAGACTCTCTACTTCATCACATATTAGATAAGCATGTAACTTCCAATGTAATTGAGTGATCTTGGTAGAATTTGCAACCAGCAAAAGCTCATTTATGTAGTAACAACTTGCTCTGCTAATCATGGATTAATCTCAAAAGTGACAAAGTTGACCCTTATTTAATGAGGTTAAAAGACTTGGCAAAGATCACAGAGGAGACCTATGGTAAAGCTGGAAGTCAAGCTTGTCCACCTTAGGGCAAGTCCTAAGCTTTAATCATTAAATTATGTAGATTTAACAAGGCTGTAAATAGATGTCCTATTGCTGCTTTAAACTTAATATTTTTATAAACATCCTGTTTATAGAGACCTTTCTTCTATTTTTATGTATTGTTTTGCCATACTGAAGATTACAGAGTTTGTTTAAGTAGTATGAAACATCTTAAATAAATGTGTATCACAGCAAAAGAATAAATTGGATTGACATTGTCAGGAGAATACTCAGAAACTCTAAATCCAAAATAACCTCAAGAAGGACTTGCTAGAATATATGATGCTGTGATTTTTAAAGTATAATTTATTAAGTCAGAGATCTTAAGAGAAAGACCCTGAATGCAATAAAGCAGGTTGTTTAAATAGATGTTGAAGCCAGATCTAGAGTCTCCCAACAGAACTAAAAGTATCACATGGGTGTGTGATGGATTGTGGTGAAGAGAAGGGATCCTAAATAAGGAAATCCATGTTATCAAAAAGCTGAACCTTTACCTGTCAAGCAGCAATGTCCTACCCAGAGGGAAGCAAAATCATTGCTTTGCTTTCGAGAACAGCCAGAAAGTGGAGCCCAGGAAGTTAATCTCAGTTTGGAAACAAAAACAGGACAATCATGGATTTCCATCCAGATTCTTTATCCTCAATTCTCTCCAAGGCAATAAAATGCTCAAGGCAATGCAGCTCAGTGGTAAAGGGTTGAACGGTCTTTTGACTCAAAGAGCTAATACAGTATAACCAGAAAAAAACAAACAAAATTAATTACCTCCTTTAAAGAGGAAATACAAGCAGAACTGTACGATAACGAGATTTTTATTAAAATAACGCTATGTGCCTTTTGTTAAATAAAAACGGGGATCCAGCGGGCAAGACTGAAACGCTGGAAGGGCTGAGTACGGCACCGCCGCTCTAAGGGAAGAGGCACTTGGTGGGTGCCGGTGTGACCCGGGCGGGGCTGGGCAGGGGGATGGATGGCGGATCCCGCCCCGGGAGCGGGGCTGGGGAGGGGGATGGATGGCGGATCCCGCCCCGGGAGCGGGGCTGGGGGCGGGAGCGGCGCTCTCTGCAGGCTGAGGCCGCGCTGTCACCACGGCAGCTGCCGGGCGGGCGGGGGATGGACAGACGGCTAAGCCGGGCGGAGACCCGCGGTGACACGGCCGGACAGAGCCACCGGCGCGGGACACGGATTGCCGGAGCTACCGGGGAAACAAGAGGGCCACGGGCTGTGAGAGACACCTGGGGAACAGCGGGGTAGACTGGCTGCGAGACCCACCGAGGCCACCAGCGGGGGACACCGTTTGCCACAGCCACCGGGCCACCCGCGGGGGACAAAGCTTCAAGGTTTGCCACAACCACCAGGCCACCAGCGGGTTAGGCGGGTTGCTGGGCAGCGGGAAGGGTCCCCCTGTCCCCGGGCAGTGTCACCGCAGGCAGCGGAGCCTCCCCGCAGCCCCCGCGTCCCTCACCTGCTCGCTCAGATGTGCACGGGCACACGCGGGGCTCGAAGCCCATCTGGTCCTGCTGGTTTCCAGGTGAAAACTCTGCTAGTGGATTTATTTATTAATTTATTGCACGGCACAGGAAAATGGATCTGTGGTGATCATGACCTTTTTTTTTCTGTTCAGAGCTTTTCTGATTTCGGTATTCGCTGATTGTTCCTGCACTTGGCACCGTTTCACTGCTTCAAACTCACTCCCGCAGCACTCGGAAAAACCTGTGCGCAGTCACTGGTTAGTCCAAACGTTGGAGACCATGAATTACTGACCTTCAGAAGCAGCCAATCTAATTACACTGATAGCAGACAGGGCTGGGATGGACTGGGATCATGTTATTCCGGACCTGGAGTAACAAATTTTATTCTCTCCCTCCTCAGGACCATGGCTGCCATCGACGAGCGTACATTCATTGCCATCAAGCCCGACGGGGTCCAGAGGGGACTGGTGGGGGAGATCATCAAACGCTTTGAGAGGAAAGGATTCAAACTGGTAGCCATGAAGTTAATACATGTAAGCTCTCCTCAACTGCTGTGCCTTTTTTTTAATATCAGCTGTAGCCTTCAAATAGAGCAGCATGCTATAACAACAAATGTGGCATCTGTAACATTTAAAACTGAAATTTTGAGAAGTTGTACTTGGGATGTTTTTGGAAAAGTTCCAATTCCCAGCTCTGGCTAACTGCTTTAGACGTGCTAAGCATACTAATTTTAGTAACCTGATGTCCTTAGTCTGAAGAGAATATTCTTTCAGGTGCACTCTATGCCTAATAAATATCTTTGAGTATCTTTCACAAATCCCAGGTCACATAAACTGCCTGTATTTGCAACAGAAACTTCTCTAAGTTTAGTTGTGGTTAAACCAAACAGTTCAAATTCATATTGACCAAAAATTTTCCTAGGAAGCTTCTAGAAATACTGAATTTTGAAGTGCGTGCAAGTTTCAGGATTACCAGAGCCCTGTGGTTAATCTCTGTGATTTCAGTATGCTCTTAAGTTCTTACTGTAAGCTTTTTTCTCTGTCTGGTTTTTAACCCAGGCCTCTGAGGACCTTCTGAGGGAACACTACATCGACCTCAAGGACCGGCCATTCTATGATGGCCTGGTGCAGTACATGCACTCGGGACCTATTGTAGCCATGGTGAGTTCCTGGCAAGGAAAACCACACTGCTTGATTGTCTTCCCTGTGATGAAATTGTGTCAACTGTTGAATTCTAGTTTATTTTTAAAAGGATTTAAAAATATGGATTCAAATAATATGATTAGGAAGGTGTGCTTTTTCTTTAATTTTTTCTCATAATCTTTCTCTCCTTTGAGTCAGTTTGTTGAGGAAGAGGGGAGGGGCAAAAGGGAATCAAAACCAGGATCCTGAGAAAAGGAAAACCCCACTCTGAAATGCCATGTAGTAAGCAAGCTGAAAAAGGATGGTGGAATATTTTAACTCTATTTCTCTTTTTCTCCTTGATAATGTATTTGTGAAATAGTTGAGGTCTAGCTTTCTCATGAGCAGACAGCTGTGTGAGACTGTTTGACATACTGAGATGGAAAATTGTTCTCTCCCCAACCTGAGTGAGGAAGGGGATTGTACAGAATCTGACAAAAAACTTGGAGATAAAATATGCCTTGCTGTGACAAATATTCAGATGTTGATTTGTGCCATGATGGACAGCCCTGTGTTCTTGTGGATGGTATAATTTATCTGCTGCTAAAATTTAATAATCTGAATGGATTTTTTTTATTCCTTAAGGTGTGGGAAGGTCTTAATGTCATTAAGACTGGAAGAGTAATGCTGGGCGAAACCAATCCATTTGATTCCAAGCCTGGCACTATTCGTGGGGACTTCTGTGTCCAAGTTGGAAGGTAAATTTTAAAACTTTTGGTATCATCCAAAGGTACTAAATGCCAAGTGTTACGTCATGATACCTGCAGGAACTGTGCTCCATCCTTCTCTGTCTTACACACAGAGCTGCCATTCCCTGTGCCCATGTCATATTAGGATCTAAGGATGGGGATCAAGTCATGGTTGTCCCCATTGGCAAAAATGAGGAGTAAAGCTGGCACTGCCTATGCTGTGTCTTTTTCTACTTTACTATTAGTTAAAGCTCCTGTCCATAACAGGAACAACTTCAAAACAAGAAGCTTACTTTAATTTAAGAATTCTCTTACTCTTTTTTTCACCTTTTCTTTTCCTAGGAACATCATTCATGGCAGTGATTCTGTGGAAAGTGCTGAGACTGAGATAAATTTATGGTTCACTCCTGAAGAACTAGTTGATTACAGAAGCTGTGCTCATGAGTGGACATATGATTAACACCCACACTGAATCTTCTTATATCCCCATGTCCATGAGCAGCTGCCAGCCTCTAGCTATTCCAAAGAATTCCCTGGTAGAAACCTCAGAAAACAGTGAGATTGCTCTGTTGTGGATGTTAAATAGTCAGTGCTTGCTGCTCCTTTGATCTAAAGGCTGTCAAGTTACAGATGGAATTGCACATTTTAAAAGCTGTTTCTGGTATTGAGAGATATGAGGTGAAAACACAAAGCAGATAACAGACATATTTTTCTGAAGCACTTTATAGTTATAGAGAGTATTTTGGTAAACATAAAAACAAATGGATAAATTATTCTTTTGTAAATAAATGTGCAAATGGCTCAGAGTCAGAGGCTAACTTTGCTAAAATATTAGAGGACAACTGATGGTATGTAAATGCTTTGATAATATGTCCAAAATGCTGAGCATTTACTTAATATCAAGTCAAGTGTGTCCCCATTCCTAAAACAGCTGCAGAAAAAAGCCCATTTCTCTCCCCAGAACATGCTGTGACCATAGAGAGCTCAGCTCTGGCTTAAATGACAACTGGCCTCCACACTGACACTGTTTCAACTTGTTCTTTTTTTCAATCCACATGGGATTTATTTAGCATTTTAAGGAAAGATTAACTAGCCAGGCTTTATGAAATTTCCTTTTATGTGAAAAGCAGATTAATGTGAGGATGGATGAGGGAGATTCTACCTTCAGTCACTTCAGTGCAGCAGCTCTCTGACATTGCACAAAGCCATAAGTGGTGTTTGTTTTGCCAGCTGAACAGGTGATAATTTAGCTTGATTCTCATTAGTGACCTTTCTTAGTAGCTAGGACTACAAAGCAAATGGTCCTTGGATAAGTTGTTTCAGAAATGACTTCAGCACTATAGTTTTGTATTTATTTAATGATGTAAAGAAGTACAGTCATAATAATGCAGAAAGTGTTTCAGTTTCAACAGCAAAAGTTGTATTGGATGAGGAAGTTGGGATTGATATTAGGTATTTATTTCCCTGCAACATCTTATTCACTAAGAGCAAGAGTTTAATGGAATCAGTTTCTCAAGCTCCATGATCTTTTCCCCAACACTGAGTTCTTCTATCTGAATACTGAACTATGCAATGAATGTTGAATTGAAGGCTTATGATACGTTATAGTGATATCAAGCTCCTAAAAAGAGATGGCACAAAAGAAAACAATATTTGTTGTTTCTTAAGTGAAATAAAATTATATTTAAAATATTTTGTCTTATATTTAGTTAATGAGTATAGGGAGGGGGGACAAATTCTCTAACTGTGAAGCTGTAGATGAGGCTGTAAGCTTCTCTTTTGAAAATATTCAGTGTTATAGAACATAAATCATTAGGTCAAAAGAAGTTGGAGGAAAGGGAATATGTGACAAACCTGAGCATGAGAATAGTAGTCTCCAGTTTAATCTTTGCTTGAAAGGTTACTTGAGACTTCTTGATTCTACAAAACAGAGAAATGTGGTTTATCTGGAGGTGTGGGGGCTGTCAGAAAGCTGCTGATTAGTGTTTCTAATGTGTTGAGACTGGGAAGACACAGAGGCCAGCATTCATTCATGGCTGAGGTGCCTGCGCAGGTCCAGAGTGAAACCTCTCATTGACGCTGTGAAGCCTGACTAACTGGCCCCTCAATAAGAGACAACACAAAGACTGCAGATATGTTTGATAAATCAGTGATATAATTTGATATCATTGGTATCCCACCCACAGTGACAACTTGCTCAGGAAAAGATGCTCTATCAACTAGGAAAGGGCCAAGTAGTAAGCATCATAAAAAATAACAACACACTCCGTGCTTCATGTTGTGACACGGCTTCAGGGACTGTGAGGTTTTGACACTTGGCAGTTTCATCTTCCCAATAAAATTACCGATAATGTTCCTGGGTTACGGATCCCACATAGCTCTTCTGTGCTAAATAAGCTTTCGAGGAGATGTAGCCGTGCTGTGCGGTCCAGCCGGGGTGGCAGGACCAACCCTCAGGCCGCGGGAATTCCTGAAAGCACCCAACCCAGCAAAAAAATGAGTAAAAAGTTCTTTAGCTGTATTAAATATCCGCAGTCTTTCCAGTGACTTAAAGGCTTAAACCACAGTTGCTGCGTCTGTGAATTAATAACCCTCAAAGAGGCGGAGGCGACAGGTGCGGCCGGGCCTGGCCAAGTGCCGCCCCTCAGCCGCCGGGCCTGGCCGAGTGCCGCCGCTCGGCCTCCGGGTCCGGCAGCGGCCGCAATCCGGTCCGGTCCCGTCCCATCTCATCCAAACCCGGTCCCGCTCGGTCCTGGCGATCCCACCCCCGAAGCGTCACAGGCCCGGCTCCTCCTATGCGCGGGGCGGGGGATCCGCCGTCCGCCTGCCTCCTCCTGTGCCTCTTCCTCCGGCGGCAGCGGCGCGGGCGGTAGCTGCAGCGGCAGCTCTGCATAGGTGAGGGCGGGCTCCGCGCTCCAGGGGCATGGGGGGTGCAGGCGGGGGGCCCGGCGGGGTTCGGCGGGGCCTGGACGGGCTCGGTGGGGCCGGGGGAACATTCTGTGGCGGTGCCGCGTGGCAGGGAGGTGCCGCTATGGCCGCCGCCGACCTTGAGGCCGCGCGTCCCCTCACGCGGCGCTCCCGCCCGCAGCGCTATGGCGGGGAATGGCGAGCGCACCTTCATCGCCATCAAGCCCGACGGCGTCCAGCGCGGGCTGGTCGGGGAGATCATCAAGCGCTTCGAGCAGAAAGGGTTCCGGCTCGTGGCCATGAAGTTCGTGCACGTGAGTGCCCGCGCCTATCCCCAGACCCCGTCCCTGCCCTATCCCCAGACCCTGTCCCTGCCTTGCCCCCAAACCCCGTCCCTGCCCTGCCCGAGGTGCACTCACCACACCCCACGGAGAATCTCCCCTTGCGGCTTCTCCTGCGGCAGAATGTGGATCTGATGGCGGATGTGCTGGAGCATTCGTCAGGCCCGGCTTCCTGCCCGGCACATGGCTTTCCCTCTTAACAAAAAAAACGAATTTTGCTGCAGAGATTTAATGCAGCCCAACTGAGCTGGAATGGCCTTGACTGAAAGGTTGCATGGGGTAACATCACCTCGGGATGCCGTACTCTGCTTATCGCCGAAGATAACTGCAGTGTAAAAAAATCGTATTTACAATTCCCAGCATTGCCAGAAAGAACTCCTTTAATGTTACAGCAGGAGCTCCCACTGATACCCATAATAGTACTGCAGCATTGTTGGTAATATTAATTATTACTGGATCTAATTACTAACGCCATAGTCTTACACCAGTAACACCTTTTGTTTGATGATATTCAGGAAATTTTATTTAAATTTGCCCTTTTAAAGGCCTCTGAAGAACTTCTCAAACAACATTACATTGACCTGAAAGACCGCCCCTTCTTCTCTGGTTTGGTTAAATACATGAACTCTGGACCTATTGTGGCCATGGTAAGTGGCTTAATTTTAGTTTACTTTCTTGAATATATTTGTCTTGCTCTGGAAATTATTAAAACTATTCAGAGATAGTATTGCAGAAACATTTTTTTCAAACTACCTAGTTCTGATGTAGCAAAAGAAAAAATTAAAACTGTGAAATTACTATATAATAAGAAAAGTGCACATATAAAATGGGTATTAAAATGCCTAATACATAAATGAATAAAGCAAAATCCCTGAAAGCAAATCTGAACCAAAATCTTTGTTTTGGGCAAAAAAAGGTCAGGCTCTCTGACACAAGAACCCAACTTCTGTGTCATTCATTCTTAGAATCTCCCCAAAACAAGGTACTTGCTCTAATAGCATCTACTGCTGTGATGATGAACTAGGAGAGGACACCCAGCAGGCTGTCTCTGTTCCACCAAAACACCAAGGGCTGGGAATTGGCTTTGTATATTAACTGTGAGGCTTGGTAAAGTATCTCCTTCATTGCAGTAACAATGTTGATAGTTCTTTTTACAATTACTTTCAGTTCAGATGTTTTTTTTCCCTTGTCACCTTTACAGGCCTAAGAGAGAGAGAGAATCTAGGCAAGGTTGATATCTTTCATGGTAGAGCCTTTGTTTCTTTGCAAAGTATGGTAGAGCAAAGATGACTTCTCAGTATTTTGCGTAAGTACAGGCTTACCGGAATTTTTGTGTTTTTTACCTTAAGGTATGGGAAGGACTCAATGTGGTTAAAACTGGGAGAGTAATGCTGGGGGAAACCAATCCTGCAGACTCCAAGCCTGGCACCATCCGTGGTGACTTCTGCATTCAAGTGGGAAGGTTTGTGCTCTGTCTGTTAATTAATACTAAAACTCAACAACTCCTACTCATTGTTTACTTGCCAACACAAAAACTAGTGACAGTCTTTTATTCTAGAAGGCCAGAATTGGTGGTAGAGACCTTAGTCTGATGGTGTTTCTGTTTGCAGGTCACAGTGCATAGCTTCTGCTTAGGAAAGTGGTACAAAGCTGATTTATTTGCAGTCCAACTCCTCCCCAGAGCAGCATGTAAGCTCAGGCAGGGGCTGGTGTAGAACAGTAGCTCTAGAGTGACCCTGATAGGCATAATTAGCTCTTTGGGAGGGGTGGGGGTGTTGGAACACTCCACCTAAAATAACAGCAGTAGTCTCCCCACTCTAGATGCTTCATCCAAGTTTTTGCAAATTGAGAACACAGCTGCTGAAAGTGTATTTTTATAGGGAACAATGTTTGTTTCCTTCCACAGGAACATCATCCATGGCAGCGACTCAGTGGAGAGTGCACAGAAAGAGATCAACCTGTGGTTCAAACCCACAGAGCTCATCGACTTCAAGCCCTGTGCACATGACTGGATCTATGAGTGATGGGTTCCCACAGGGATTTGTGCCTTCTAACACCTCATCTCATTCCAGCTGCTGCCCTGGGAGCAAACACAGTTATCTTATTGCTAAAACTGACTGTCAAATAAATGGGTGTGAACTAATTCCTTGTGGTGGATTCACTTACAACAGACCCCTGTTCAAATACTCCAAGTAATTTTAGTCATTTGGGAGCCACTGACACATGACCCTGGCACAGCTGCTGGACTTGAGCAGAAGCAAATTTGCAGAGGGAGAGCTGAAAGGAGGATGGAGCTACTTCTAACACAGCTAGAGGGAAAAAGAGATACCACAAAATTTCCCTCCTTACACAAATATTAATACTAAATTAAATAAGACAGAATGCAAAGCTTGCTCTCTGACATGCTTATCTAGTACACCTTGTCTTATCAAACCCCTTGCCTTGTGTTCAGGGCCTCAAATGATTTGTTGTCACACCAACATACTTAAAATACTCATGTTTTTAGAGATTGTGGGTATTTTTAATAGGGCTAGTTTTAAACAAAACAATCACTATTCAGAAGAAGACTTTTAATCATTTTTATTTTGTGTAAAAAAGGCAAATTTAGTGAATTATTTTCATCTTGTACACAAAGTTATAATTTTAATGCTTTTCACATCCATGCTGAAAATCTGCAGTCTCGTAAAAATGAAAGTAACATTAATTTCTCCAAAAGCATTTTTTCACTGAGTTATGTACATTGCATGAGAAAGCTTTAAATACTCTCTCACTGACCACACAAATTACCAAGAAAATAAAAGATTAAATTTATACAGGTATTGATCTATATATCAAATACATACAGAAATGATGTAAAAACCCATTTGTTTAATCTTGATTCCCGCCCCAACATTTTCCCAGGGGCCTTTTTTTGTATAAATGGCTGTGGCTTTTCATTTTAAATATGAAAAAAAATCAAAAGGAAGAAGAATTCAGCTGAAATCACAGTTTTTTAAAATCCCCTCCCAATAAAGGATTGTTACCAAATATATTAGCACCATTGTACAAAGATTGAGGGAGGGTATTCACATCACAGAAAACAATAAAAAAACCAAAACAAACACTGAAACCCGTGTTAGTATCTGTAGAACAAGGAATCAATAACTGCTGTAGCTTTCCTCAAATGCAGCAAGGAACAGGTTAGAGAGTTCTGAAAATAACGTAATAATGAAAGATCAGCAGAGAGATCTGGAAAAGGAAAAGAAGGGCAGCAGCCAAGTCAGGGACAGGGCTTAGGCTGCCTCATGGTCAGAAAAACCTGCTGTGCCAAATGCCAAAATTAGTCCGACCCCATTGAAGGTTTCAGGTGTCCAACATTTGCTGTTCTCTCAGCCAGGG